TAAATTATTTGTATTGGCATAGAAAGTAAAGAATAAATAACACTACTTATTATAAAATAACAAAATATTAAATTATTTAAAGAAATTTAAAAGTAAACATTATTAATCAGTTTATTTTACCTTACGTGCATATAGTATTTCTGCACAATTTTTAATGGAGAAATATTGAAAATGTAATTATCTTTTTTACTAATTCAACTCTGCAATTCTCAATATTATTAAAAAATTTGAACAATTTTAACAATAGTCCAAATTCACTAGTTACTTCATGACATTTTTCAATTCAACTTATAAACTATTCATATTTTATTGAATATTCAAAGCCACAAAATCTGTAATCTGTAAAATTCAAAAACGGACTTTTAATTTTTATAAATATCAATACTTAAAAGACATTACAATTACTAAAGACGAGTAAAAATTAAACTGACAGAAATGCAATTGTTTGTTACGTTTTTCCGAGCAACAGCCAGGAAAAGGGAAAGGTCGCAATACGAGCTGTATGATATGGTAGCAGAAAACATAATCGTGTGTAGATTGCCAATAGGAATCGAAGGAAGCATATGGTGTATTCTCACAGTTTATTGGACAGTTCATCGGTTTATCAATCGTGCCTCGCACGATGAAAATGTAATTTCTATTAATTAAATTCGTCTACAGATTTGTTAAAAAACGATTCATCGATACGTCAAATTTCGTTCATATTGAATTTTACAATTAAGTAATTTCATGAACTGTCAGTAATCAAGTGTAACTGATCTGCTTATTCGCAAAAGGCAACTATATGTAATTGAACACGAAGCAATTAAACATGTGATATAATTAATTATTAATATGTTCATTCCCAATGCTATTAAACATAACATTACAAAATCTGTAACTATTGCATGATGGCTGATAGCGAAAGTTACACAAATATTTTAAAATGTAATTAATTTTAAACTATTTGTAAAAGCTCGTGTTCACATGAAATTGTAAAAAATACTTTATTTTTTAAAAATTATAAATTATATTTTTATTGACTTATTAATTAACAATGGTTAATTGTTTAAATTTGAGGAAAATTTAATTCATTTATTTAAATTAATTATTAAGATAATTCATTTTAACATTACACAACTACAACAAAAATAATATACATGTACTAAACAAAATGAATTATTCTTAAAATTGTATGCACACGCTCGTAAATGAATTACCATAAGCAAAATGATATCGATAAAATAGAACTCTGTAACAAAATGGTGAAGCATGAGTCCGAGTCCTCGGCTACTCTAAATCTAAACACTGTAGTGTTTTTTTGTTTTTACGTCTGATTTAAATTACTTGCTATTATAGTTTTTTCTTATACAGTGCAACATAACCTTCGTAAAGTGTATTGTGTCTTTGTTTGTATACAGTTTTACATTCAATATTCAATGGTATTAGAGTAGCCGTTTCTTATAATGTTTACATTATTGGGTGAAGTCAATTTATGGAGTTTTGATGACAATATTAATATAAAAAGTACAGACTTTGGTGCATTTAGGTAAGATAAATTATTTTATAAATGTTATAAACTATACTAATGAATAAATGTATCATCAAAATTAAATAATACTGATTACTTGCATTATATTTTATTAAATTAAATTAATTTAATAATCCATTTATGAGATATTCATATATAAGGTAGAACAAAAGTTAAAATTTTCTCTTATTTTCATAGGTATCATGATAAACGTGTTGATGGTATACACGAAGAAGGAAAACGATCATATAGTCAAAAGCGTGGTATGATATATGTACCAACAAATAAAAAGGGAAATAAATTGAAAGATTCAATTAAATATTTAGAGGTAAAATTGCAGTAAATTACATTTATAAATTAATAATTCTTGTCTATTACATTTTGAATTTTTCAGGATCAATTGAAAGACAATTCGATTATATATTGTCAGTGGTACGATGATTGTGTTTTACAGTTAATGTTAAATAATGCGCTGTTGATACAAATACAAGTTAATGTTGCTACCAGTGATATATATAAAATAACTTTTGACAAATATCTTGTTGGAAAACTTTCTGAGTACATATCAGATGGTAACTACCAACTTCTTTGCAAAATTTATGTTCATGCACCAAGCAATGTGTAAATATTCTACTATTTTTAATTCTAGTGTTAATTACTAAAAGTTATGTACTTTGTACCTACAATGATAATCAAGTAAGCCTTGTACATTTTACAAGATCGAAAAAACATGTATTTGATAAAATTAGTAAACTTGAACCAAAATTATCCACCATTGATCTGTTTGGTCCAAATGGTCGCAGGTTGGATAAAAAAGTGCAGACTAATAAATGTAATGATTTGGTGAGTATATTTACTATTATTCGGTCTTAAAAGTGCTCTATGGAACTATTTAAAATATATAAGTCCCATTGTAAATTATTTAGAAGTACATAATTTATGAGACTGTCTTTCAAACATCATAGATATTAATATGGTGGAAATCCACAATGAATGAAGTTTATCCATGGAGTCCGGCTGTGAAAGAACATGATCGTGCAAATATACATCTTTATCGTTTAGTAGGGTATGAAATTTCTTACTTTTTACTCTTCTCTGAGTTTTTAATAATCCATATTCGTTTCTCTGATAAAAGTATTTGAGCACAAGGTATTTTTATTTTCAGATTAAAATTAGAATTAATTTGTTACATACGTAGTGAGTTTGATCCTTTATGTATAATATTTGATGCATGTCATGATAATATTATTCATTCTGTAGAACAGAAAGTATCAAGAAAGGTAAACTTTCTACAGCATTTAGCATTGTCATTATTCTTGTAGCATTAATTTTATAATTGAACGTTTTACATCATAAGTATGATATAGGGTGAGGTGACTATAGAATGGAGGACATATGAAATTTCGCAACAAGATAAATTGCAAAGAATAGCAGTAACATCAGTACCTTTACCTACACATACAAGCTGCATAAAATTCTCACCTAATCAGGAATTACTACTTTTATGTTGCATAGATGGTTCTGTAGTAGTTTATGATCAAAACAGAGCAACAACTACCAGTGTAAAAGCAGGCTTTGTAAGTTAAATGCATATTTCACATATAAGCAGTATTCGGAAATATACAAAATAGTATATTAACTTTCAAGATACCAACATTAGCATCATGGCATAGTAATGGAATAATATTTATCATTGGAAATGATAAAGGTCAATTCCAACATTTTGATATTTCTTTATCTAGTATTAAAAGTCAAACACTAAATGAAGATGTAACACCAGCCAATATTTTAGACTTGTCATCATATTTTAGGTACGTTTATTTAATTTTAGTTATTTATTAAGATATTAATTGCAATGAGTTTTTGGTCATATATGTATAAAATATATATTAACAATGCAGAACTCAACCAGCATTATTACGTATGGAGTGGAATAAAAAAAATGATATAAATTGTTACATTAATTGGCATAATCATGGGAATTCTCTTCTACTGTTAATTTTTCAACGGTATGTTATCAACATTTTCTTACCAAATAAACAGTACATAAAAAAATCAGTAATATGAATCTAATATATTGATAGAGGCCCTATAGGTGTAATAAAACTACTGGATGGAGATTCTTTATCCGGTGATGTATTAGTTAAAAGATATCTGTCTTTGTATCAAGTTGAGCAAGCAACTTCTTTATTGTTATCTATGAATTGGGATACTCATCCTCGGGCATGTATGCATACTCTAAATCAGATCTTAAATCACTTATTTAAACTTCCATTGACATCAGAACGTGAAAGTAAGTTTTCAAATTAACATATGATATAACTCATTACGGATATTACATTTAGTTAAACGTTACAGATCTTATACAAAATGCTTTGGGCAGTTTTCACATTCCAGTTAAACCAATTAGTCAAGCTATTGAAGAAGAGTATGGAGATGAAATAAGAGATCTGACAAGAAGATTTTTTTATCATTTGTTACGGTATTTACACATTGTTGTATTTAAAACAAGAAGTCAGAAAGAATACTAATATTATCTAATACAGGTATCAAATGTTTGAAAAGGCCTTTAGGCTCGCTATAGATCTAAATGATCATGATCTTTTTATGGATATACATTTTTATGCATTAGTTGTAAATGATATGGAAATGGCTGCTGCAGCCAAAGAAAATGCGGAACGCATATTGACTAGATCGAACAGTTGCAATAGTTCACGTAAGATTGAATTAAATTCTTTATAGAACGTTTCTTTTCCTAATTAAAATTATAATGTAAATTTTCAGATTCTACTTGCTCCAGAGCATCTTGTTCACTGTGTTCTGATTCGACGAGCGATAAAGGAGAGAAATCTTACAGTGATGAAAGTGAAAATTCCTCTAAAGAAAATCAGACTGATGTAAAGCATTCTAAGAGTTATAGCTATAAGAAGGATTCCAAAAGTCAAATTCCACCTTTACCAATTCTCGATGCTCACAATCTTAAAAAAAGTCTGTTACCTACATCATTTCCTGATATTCCATCTAGTGAAAACCCTGATTGTAATTTAGTGTCGACATCTTTCAATATGCCAAACACTACCATTTCATCTTCTTTCAATCATTCGTCTCACCTTTCACTTCTAAACACATTTTTTGCAAGAACATCATTTAACAAACCTCTATATAAAACGCATTCAGCACATCCTACACAAACATCTACAGTAACTTCTACTAACAATTCACAATCGTTTGATATTTCTGATGATCTAATGACAACTTCATTTGGAAGTGTGTCTATCAGTGAACAGAAAACTACATTGCTTAATCGACATACTGAAAATTCAATAGAAATTGCACAGAATAAATCTGTTCTTGATGAAATGCAGTATTCACTTGATAGTATGTCTGATAGCGCAATGTCAACACAGTTGACACAAGACAACAGCTTCATGTCAACTCCTTTTAACAATCCAATTTATGAAACAGTTGCATTAGATGTTCCACCAAACTTATTAAAATCTTCATTAGACAGTATTGATAGCAATATCATGTCAACATCTTTTAGCACACTTGGTACAAATATTCCACATACATATGACACTTCCTTTTGTAATTTGGTAACTAGTGAACCTGATACTACCATATCTTCATCTTCTCTAAAGAATATGAAATCATCAGTCACAACTAATGACTTCACATCGAAGACACTTTCTGATTCTATTATAGTAAATAAGTTAAACACAAGTTTTCATAATAATCATAGTAATCTCATGTCAACCTCTTTTAATTTTCTAGACAATGATTTACAAGATTCTCATGGCAACATTGTTAGTAAAAGTATTAACAATGATGACAGCCACAAAACTATAAAAATACAACCGTCTCATACAGAAAAGAAATTAGGAGACATCAATATTCCACCACCACCGCCTTCTTTAACAACTTCATATACTAATTACTTTCATAATCTTCCAAAAAGAAATCTTCCTCTGTCCAGAAGCACATCTGGCTTAGCAGATATTGATGAACCTATTAAAACGTTTTCACCTATCAGAACAAGAAATATCTCATCGCATTTACTCCAGAAACAAAATTCTACAACTAACATTTTACAAACTCATCATAAGCATGGTACCATTAAGCCTTCTAAATATAGACTCAATTATGATCTCGATTACATTTCATTTCATGGAAGTTGTGATAATATACATTCCTCTTCTAATAATATGAAGCTTGGCACGTCAAAATATGCTTCTGCTTACAATATTCAAAATAGATTCGATAATAGACATTCTAAATTAATATTGCCACAGAATAGTACAAACATTAATGTTAATAAAGAATCTAAGATATCATCGAACATACCTCCACTGCCTATTATATCAACTCCTACATCTAGTTCTATATCCTGTTCCCCATTTTCTACTTTCCCAGATGCAACATTAACAACCAATGAAAAACCAAAGGTCAAGTTTTCAGATACAGTAACCCACATATTTGTACCAGACACCGTAAGTACAAACAGAAGGTATGTTTATTAGTTAGTATCAGTATGATTTAGTTAGAAATTTGTGTAGGGTCAATCGCACAAACAAAAGCGATCTACAATTACTCAAGTACACCTAACTGATCCAAAACGTGAATTAGCAGAAAGTCTTCCATTGTGCCTTGGTAATGAAGATTATTTAAAAGACTTTCAACCATTGTCAAGTAAACAATAAAATTGTTACAACTATATAGTATGAAACATTTTATGAACATATGATGATTACAATTTGTGTTTGCAGAAGAGGATATTAGTGACAAAACAAAAGAACCTGCAAAACCAGAAGAGGGTTCTAAAATAAAAGTTGTACACTTTGGACTTTTATAAGTAAAGGAGGAATGCAGATTTTAATGAAAGTAGATAAAATACTGTATTTACATATTTCTATTGTTTGTAAGAATATCCATATGCCTATTTTGTATATAATTTTTTTATATAAAACAGACTGTTTTGAAATTGTATTACTACACTATTGCAATATTGCATATATTGATGAAATTTAGGTATTCCATTTCCATGAATCTACTATTTAGATTTTTTTATTTCGTTTAATTCAGTTTTCAAATCGAACAGTTCTTTATCTGGTATCATACGTTTCTCTTCTAAGGCAGGATCGTATGGCATTATTTCTAAAGAAACTCCAATAGGTAGAGCTGCTTCTAATATTCTAATAAAAATAGGTAATTTCGTAGAAGTTATATTTGATATTATTATATCCCTTTCAAAAAGTTTAAGATT